CCAGAGATGCTCCATACACGGATGTTTCTCTGTCGCCCCTTCAGAATTCAGATACAATACAGATACACTCCAGACACGACAGTCATTCTGATATTCATTCAAAATTCAAATACAGTTACAGCTCAGATACGCTCCAAACACGGACGCCATTCTTTTGCTCATACAGAGTCAGTCTCCAGATACAGTTCAAATGCATTCCAGACACGGATACCATTTTGATGCTCATTCTTCTGACCCACCACATTGCGATTCAGCAAACATTCTTGGATGGCATCTTTAAGCCCATCTCCAGCAAGATCCTACCATCTCTAAATGGCATCTTTAAGCCCATTTCCTCATCTATATTCTGACGAGTGCAAATTTACGGGCACTCTAGTGTCCAATCCTCTTTTACCTTCGAGTCGCGAAAGGCAAACTTGCCAATCTAACTCTTCAAGTTCAAGAAGATTGAACAGGGGAAAATGTTGTACCCCAAAATTTTCTCTCTCATTTCATCAACATTTTTCATCACAAGACTTTTGGAACTCAAGATCAAGCTAGGGTTTGCTCTGCTCAAGACACCTCCTTGCATTGTTGACCTAAATTAGGGTTTGAGTTTGCACAATGATGTTTTGACCTACAATGCCCAAGGTGACTTTCATACTTCATATTGGACTCACAAGTTTGTCCATACCAAGTTTCAAGCCTTGATTCAAATTTTTGCCCAGTCAATTGGACAGTTGACCTAGAAATCAGATGTATTAGGGAAAAAGTCAACTATGGCCAATTGACAGTCAAACTTCATGAATTTTGACCCACATCAATAATATGAACTCATATGAACCATTTGATCAAGTTTGGATCACAATTCCACAAGAAATTTGATCAGATCATCAAAAGGGCAAAATGGTCATTTTTAGGGTTTTGACTGTACAAAGGCAATTTTTGACTGTCTGACCTAACCAATGGAAAATCAAGCTCAACCATGGACTCAAGGACTCAATGACATTGTCTTGACCCATTCAAAAAGTTCAAAAGATCTCAAGTGCATAGGATTAACAGATGAATTTTTCAGTCAACTGATCAAAATTTGACTGTACACTGAAAAGTCAAACTTTGACTTTTTGGTCAAAATCAAGTGCCAAGGGTCATTTTTCATCAATACATGCCAAATTATGAAACTTGTTCATCAAGAAACCCAAAAATGCAAATTAGGGTTTAAAAATGGAAAAATTTCATAACTTAGAAATTTTCTAAGTTATGAAATTTTCTTATTTTTTCCTAACTTTGTCCCATTTTTTCACCAAGATTCAAATGTATTCAAACAAAACTTGCAACATGAAAGTTGTATTCCATCACAAAGTCTAAAACTTTGATTCACAGTTTTCTCAAAAGAGGCTTGTATCTCAAGTTATGATTTTTGGAACAAGGGTACCTAAAACTTTTAACTTAGAGAAATTTTGCCCTAGTTTAGGCAGGATTTTAACCCATCTTCTTGGCCATTTTTCACATAGTTCCACTTGGATTTTCAAGTTGCATTTCAAATATGGATTATAGTACATGTTTCAAGCTTTCCAAATTGTCCAAGAACTCCTCAAACACATTTGTGTTTAGGGAGAATCGAATGCTTGAAGTTGGCAAAAACTCACTTTGATCCATGGCCAATACATGTTCATACAACTTGCATTTTCAAACCAGCATGCTTTGTACTAGCTTGCAGGCATCTAAACCATTTTACACTCCTTAATTGAATGCAAATCCACTGAGCTAAGGCATTATCTTGGTCATTTGGACATTGCATGCAAAACTAATCCCTATTTGGAAAAAGGTATAATGCCATTTTTGTAAAGTTACACTTTATGTCAAACCAAGATCTTTGAGGCATGGGGCCATATCTCTGAGGCAAAATCAAATCCACAAATTGAGAGTATCAAGGGAAAAAGATGCAGCATACAAGATAGGCATTACAGGCCTGCATTGACGAGTTAGACATTCTTGCTTCAAAAAGAAGAAATTGTCCAAAATCCTCCAAACTTGAAAACCAGACATTGTTAGCTAAAACAAAGATCACAAACACATTTCACACAACCCTTTGAGTCAGAAGCACGAGCCTTTCACCCCTAAAGCACCCTCATACCCAAAATCACCAGTTTTCTGCAAAATAGGGCAAGCCCTGCAGAACCACCCCCATCTCCAATTTCCCTCGTGCGTTTTGCCTCAAACTTGTTCCAATACCTTCCACTCAACTCACCTGAACTATTCCAGACCTCCATTTCTAGCTGTAACACCATTAACATACATTGCCATTTTTATTTCATAGCTTTGCAGGTTGAGTTCTGTAGCACGATTCAAGCTGTTTCAAAACAAACTAAACATTGGGAAAGCTTCATTGGACATCAGGAAAGCTCAAAAGAACCTCAAACACCCTTGAAAGTTGCTGCATTGTCCAGCTCGAAGACAGCTGAAACAGGTATTTCATGAACTTCTATCTCTCTATTTAGGAATAGTTAGGCTTAGGTTTGTGAATGAAAGATGTTGTACTCATAGCCCTGAAACCATACATGTGCTTAGTTTTCATTTATATTAATCGTGCTAGGAGAATTTTGTTCATGAACTTTCTGAAAAAACTAGGTTAAGATTTAGGGCCAGAGAAATTCTCTCTGGTCTTTGAGAGTTAGCTTAAGTTTTTTATATGGTTGGATCCGTTGCTTGATGCTCTACATGTTTCATGTTATGAGTTTTGTCAAAAAGTCAAGGAATCAGGAGATAGCAGTTGATGTACAGGACGCGCGTTTTTTGTGAACTGAGGAAGAAGATGAAGTTCCTTGGGTTGGGCCTGTTTGCTTTTGCTTCTCACACACACATTTTCAGTTTACACCCCCCTGGCCCATTTATTTGTATATTTGTCATTTTGATTTTTTTATTTTTTATTCTGACTTTATTATTTTATGTCCAAATATAAAAAATGCCAAAAAATTATTTTTATATTTTTTCATATTTATTTGATATTTATTTTTATTTTACTAGTATAAAAATGATTTAAATACTTTATATCCCTTTTATTAAAACTCAAAAATAATATAAAAAATATGTTTATCTTTATTTATTATTTTGTACATACTTGAAAACATTTTCTTGAAATATATACCATGTTGTAAAGAATTTATTTTATTTTTATACACACTTAGTATATTTAATATATTTAATACATATACATACATATTTTAATTAAATAATTAAGACAAAAAATACAAAAATAATACATTTTTATTTTTATTAATATGTTTTACTAAAAATACCATTTTTTAATATACTTATATTTTTGTATAAATTAATACATTATTGTATATAAATAATAAATAATACCATTTATTAAAAAAATATTAGGGTTTTGCCCTAAAGAATAAAATAATTAAAATTGACTTTTTTTTATTTACACTTCATATTTAAAAATACTTTTACATACATAAAAATCCTTTTTGCATAATACATTTTATTTAACATTTATTTATTGTATTTATTTATTGTACATTTAAATATTCTATCTTGTACATTCAATTTGGTTGTAATAATTTAGGATTTAATTTCTTGCAAAATAATCCCCAATTCAAATTTGTACCCCCTCCCTATATCATGTTGTAATAGTGTAGAATTTAAATTCCCGCACCTTTAGATGCTTTCAATTATGCCATGATTAGACCTAGGGTTTGTATGCAAAATAAAATCAACAATTAGCTTGACCTAATCCAAAGATAACAATGCATGAAAAATAAACACAGTGCACACTTGCACCCCTAGGGTTTCAATCCACTTGTTGCCTTCAAAAATGGGCCATGGTATGCATGTCAAGCACTTTGGCAAAACAAAAACAAAACAAAAGATCATAGTCCCTCGATGACGCTATCTGAGTTGCCTAAACAAAATGATCAAGTCCCTCAAGAAAATTGCCAAAAATACTTGACACCATTGCTATCATGGTCTATACGATGACCCACTCCTGTCCCGTTTAACATCCTAACACAAGGTTGTTCACCAAATACAATGGTGAAACAACACTGTTAAAAGGGTTAAAAACATAAGAAAGATCTTTGAGTTAAAATAGGGTAGACAACTCTTAGTTACTTGATCAAAACTTGCAAAAACATCCTTGCTATCTTCAAAATACACTTCACAACACAAATTTTAAAACCCTACTTTCAAACATTGAAAACTTTTCAAAAGACAAAAACACCTTTGTATACATTCAAACAAGAATCATTACAAAGGTTGCCACAACGATGGCCTCTTTTCAAAACATCTTTCAAAATCACACACAAAGCACCATTTCAAATAATTGAAGAGCACCATTTCAAACAATTGAAAAGCAAAGCAAGTGATCTAAGCCAGTAACTAAGAGCCCATGGATAACCATGGATAGAAAGGGTGCTAATACCTTCCCTTTCTATAATCTACTCCCCGAACCCAAGAAAACATCTCAAAAGGTATTTCCTGTGCTTTTTGACCTTTCCTTAGGATAAAATAAAAAGTCGGTGGCGACTCTTGCTAAACCGAAACATTTGCGAACACAAACGCAAAATCCCAAGTCAGTTCTCCCACCGTATCACAATTGGGGTAAGCAATTTCATTATTAGAGCATTATTGAAGATATTTATTTGTGGTATCACGTAAAATTTAGTAGTTTGTTATTGTTCGATAATGTTCCAAAAGTGAAGTTTGATAATTTATTATAATATTGATTTATTGGTTTTTACCATAAGTCACTATTTCAAAAGGAAATTTTGGTAATTTAGTATTGTTTGGTGTTGTTTCAAAAGTGAATTTTGAAATTTGATATTGTTTCTCTTCTCTTTTTAAAATATTTGTTTGATAATTTATTTAATTGTGGTGTTTTGGTTGTTTCATAGTTTATTATCATAAGTAATGATAAAGATGATTCTCTTTGGTCGGTTAATATTCAATTCATTGGAGAAAATCATCTTTATTAGAGTTATATAATGAGAATTTTTTTGAAAGGAAAGAGGATGTGGAGTTATGTTAATGGAACTTCGGTTAAACCTACCGATAAAAAGAATGAAGCAAAATATGCAAAAGAGTTAGAAACATGGGATGTTAGTAATTCGAAGATTCTTACTTGGATCAATAATTCTGTTTCTCAATCAATAGGTGTGCAACTATCAAAATATGATACTGCTAAGGAGGTTTGAGACCATTTGAAACGTTTGTATGCTCAATCTAATTTTGCAAAATGGTATCCTTTGAAGAGTGATATTAGAGCTCTCAAACAAAATAATATGACCATTCAAGAATTCTATTCAGCAATGAGTAATTTGTGGGATAAGTTGGCTCTTATGGAATCGACTGAATTGAAAGTTGTCAAAGCATACACTGATCAAAGAGAATAACAATGTTTGGTTCAATTTATGATGGTGCTTAGGGATGATTTTGAGGGAATTTGTTGGGATATTCTGCATCGTAATCCTCTTTCCAGTGCTGATTCAGTTTTTAATGAATTGTTGGTAGAAGAAATTAGACTCAAGTCCCACTCAATTTTGATTCCAGATAAAGGAGTTTTATCCACTCCTTCGTCTGCTTTTGCTGCTCCATTTCACAAAGGAAAACTTCAAGGTATGGTTGGGCTTGGTATTGATGAATGTGCTTTTTGTAAGGAGAAAGGTCATTGAAAAGTACAATGTCCCAGATTGTTGAAAGTAATTCAGAAAATTTTCAAGAGTCCATCATCAAATGTTGTTGTTGCTGCTCCTACTACTGTTGGTTCTGGTTCTGATTGTGCATATCCATCTGAGACTACTTCTCAAATATATGATATTGTAGAGCAGCTTCAAAAACTTCTTACCACTTAGTCACGTGCCATGTCTGCTTCCTCTACTAAAGGGTTGAACTCTTCTAGTTTTTCAGGTATATCTCCTTCCATCTGGATTCTAGACTAGAGCATCACACCATATGTCATATGATGCTAAATTATTTGTGTCTTTGATTGCTACATCATCTATGTCAGTTATGACGGCCGATGGCACTTGTGATCGGTGGGAATGAGAACTGACTGTTTTGGAATGCTGGTGGTCATAGCCCCTGACTCAAGTTAGCGTGCTTGGATTTCTAGACAACCTTGGCTAGAGGAAAATAAATCCCCTTTGCCCCTTGCTAGACTTTTGATTTACCATAACCTGTATCACAGACCCTTGAGATCCTTGAAATGGTTAAGGAAATGTTAAGGTGTGATGTTATGATGTGTATGCTATGCGTTTAAGCAAAAGTGTGAGGTGATGTAAGTAAACCCTGCAATAAATCCAAATTATCGGATAAGGACTGGAAACAAAACCTGCAAGGAACTCATGTTGTCAGATAACAAGAATGTGCAAGTAGTTCAAGTTTGAAGGCACACAAGTCACACAAACAACCTTAAATTTAGGCTGGCATAGAGTTTAAGTATTACCCTCTTTCAGTTTCAGTTGGTTAAGACCTATCCTAAAAAATAGTAATCGGGTTCTAGAGGATCTCAATATCACTGACTACCCTCAATCAGTCATAATTCCAGTTTAGCAACCTTTTCTTGTGGCCGGAATCATCGCGAGAGTTTAGTCTCAATGAGTGTAGCATACTGCTACTGTTCTATGGCCAAGTTGGTCAATTTAAGGTTCTAAGGTCAGTTGGTGCTTAATGACTCCTTAGAAGACCCATATTCTCCTCGTTTCAACACAAGGGATATCGGTACAGACTAAGGTGCCACACCAATGTAGCTACTGCTTCATCTGTGTCAGTCTACGCCGGACAGATCCCACACAGTTTATTGCTACTTACCTAAAGAGTATCCCCAAATCCGAGTTAGGATCTATAGAACTTCGATACAAGCCCACAAAATTAAACCATAGAAAGCATACAATTGAAAACAAGAGTGATCTAATCCTAAGGTACACCTCACTTATATGAATTTCCCCAGCAGAGTCGCCAGTTCTGTGATCGGTGGGAATGAGAACTGACTGTTTTGGAATGCTGGTTCGCTTTTTGCGTTTGTTTTCACAAAATGTCGCGGTAAGCAAGAGTCGCCACCATCTTTTATTTTATCCAACAAGGAAAGGACAAAAGCACAGAAAATTTCCTTTTTGAGATGTTTATCAGGTTCGGGAGGTAGATTATAGAAAGGGAAGGTGTTAGCACCCTTTCTATCCGTGGTTATCCACGGGCTCTTAGGTACTTGCTCACTATGTTTTCAAAATTTTGCTTTTCTTTGTGTTTGTGGGTTTGAAAAGAGTTTTTGTTTTGGAGAGAGTGTAAGTGTGAAAAGTTTTGTTTTTGTTTTCAAAAGAGCAAGTACTTAAGAACATCTACCTACTCAAAAAGGAATTAAACTGTGCAAATGTCCTTTAGACTGTGTTATCACACTATTGAGGAGTAGGTAGCACCGTCGTTGGAGCTTTTCGGGTCAATTCGATTAAGGGACGTATGGTCACTAAAGCAATGTTAGGACGCCTTAGTGGTAACTCTAATGTCTTAGATCATTTTATCTGAGGCAACCGTTTCGAGGCAACTTATGATCTTTGGACAAGAGGGCGACCTCTAAAACATCCTATACTCAATGACCACGTTCGAGGCAACCAAGTGAGGTGTACCCTAAGGTGGCATGTGCGAGTGTATTTTTTTATAGTTATATTATCTTTGTATATTTAGGTGTTCTACCATTTGTTTTCAGATCTTGTCATGCAATCCTAGTTAGCATACATGTAAACAGTTAATATATGTACAGGAATTTAAAGTGCGGGAATTGTAAATCCTACACTATTACAAGGCTTCGGGGAGGGGGATTATTTACATGTCCAAAATTGGGGGAATAAAGAAGTAAAGTGTAAAAGTCTTAGTTAAGCTATTACAAACCAGTAGGCAGTTACAATAAAATAAACGCACGCGAATCTGAAAATAACCTCTAAAAATCCTAAGAATAAAATCTTTTTGTTGTTTTATTTTATTTTGGGAAAATGATCTAAATCTTCTTAATTTTAGTTTTGAGAAAATGTTAAGATAATTAAATGATTAATTAACAAAGTTAATTTAATAGAAAAACTAGCCTAATGTTTTTGTGTTTTTTCTTTAATTGATTTTATGTTGATTAAAAAAAGAAATAAAATAGTCAAAACAAAGATGAAATCGAAGGAAACAGGCAGTAAATCAATAAAAGGTATAATTCTGGAGGCCTGGATCGAAAGAGGTGTGGGCTGTCTTTCGATCCAGTGAAGAGGCTTGATCGAAGGTGCATAAGGGGCTGTACTTTGGGGGTGTTCGATCTGGATATGTCATCCTTCGATCTGGGAACCCTGGATCCAGTTCGAAGCTAAGATGCTAAGCTTTGAAACTCTGAACAAGATTCTGAGAAGATACTTCCTGCAAAACGAGACAAATGTTAAAGATCCAGGGGGGACTTTACCCCCCCTGATTCAAATCTCCTCCCAATTCAAATCCTTCCTCAATTTGAATCTGCTGAATCTGGGCCTGGGTTTGTTTTATCCTGAGATTCGAAGGAGAAACTTAGATCGTGCCCCAGCAATGGCATGATCTCATCTTTGCGCTTCAACTTACATGCAACATAATCAGTAATAACAAGAATACATATGCAATGTGTATTTAAATGTCATGAAGGTGCAATTTTGGTTTTGCAAACCCTTACCAATTAAAAATGTATGATCTGTGGCTCTGGGTGTGGAGATGTTCGCTGAATGGCTGCTTTGGCTTGGATTACTTATGAAAATGCTGATAACCTTTGGTGGGTTTGTGGGCAGCGTATCTCCAAATCCTCCCTGTTTCTCTTCTTTTCTTTTTCTGTTTTTCTTTGTAATGTGTCATTGGCCTCGTATTTATAGGAGTGTGAGGGTGCATGAAAATGGCAAGGGACAGCCATTTAACCAGGCCTTTAAAGCCATGAGACAAGAATCAGACATATTAAAAGATTTCCTTTTTTGAAATATTCATGTCTCTTTGGAATCTTGAATGAACCTGGACACTTTTGATTTTCGAATGCCTTCAGGCCCTACTCTTCGATTGGTCTTGATTTTCCTCCTTCGAATGGATTTCTTATGTACCCTTCGAACGGGCCTTCTTTGCCAGCTTCAAAGTCCAATTCGAATCTATTTAGAACATTCCCTATTAGACAACTTCGACCAGCCCTTGGCCTTGTGATGAGTCTAAGTTCTGATTCGAAGTGTTCAGAATTTCCTTCATCAGAGCATCTTAGATTAAGAGAAACTCTGCACTGAAATGCCATTCGAAGGTCATTTCGTTCTGATGTTCTTATTAAGGGAAACTCTGAAGTTCTAGTCGAAGGACACTCTGAAGTTCCAGTCCAAGGACCTTTTGAAATGCCAATTGAAGGGTATTTGTCCATATACCAATCAAAGGGTACTTGTTAAAATTCCAATCGAAAGGCTTTGTTAACAAGCCAATCGAAAGGTGTTGTTCATGCTAATCGAAGGACATGGTTAACATGCCTGTCGAAGCTGCCTTGACACAATGCTAAATCGAAGGATCCCTTGGCATGCCAATTGAAAGGCTTGGCCCAGGGTGCCAAACGAAAAGGTCTTTCAGAATTCCAATCGAAGGCCTTGACACAATGCCAATCGAAGTGTTTATCCATAATGCCAATCGAAGGGAATTATCCATGCCAATCGAAAGGCTCCTTCAGAATACCAATCGAAGGGTCTTTCAGAATGCCAATCGAAAGGTACTTAAAGCACCACTCAAATATTTTCTTTTTCCTCAGGCAAGGGTTTCTGGTCAACCATGCAGGGGGGAGACTTTGGAAAACATGAGAGGGAAAATTTTGGGGTGCAACAGTTGCCCCTGTTCAATTTTCTTAAACTTGAGGATATAGATTGGCTTTCGAGCCTTTCGTGATCCGAAGGTGGAAGATAATTGAACACTAGAGTGCCCAGAAATTTGCACTCGCATGGTGTAGTATCAGCATTGTGACGTCGGGAATGGGCTTACAGATGCCATTTGGAGATTGTTGGTAGGAGGATGGGCTTATAGATGCCATCTGTAACACCCCTTCTAAATAACCCGCGAATATATTAATTAAATCAGAGTAACATGGAAAACAGGGATGTCACAATTCAGGATAAATATAAAAACCTCAAATCTACAGTTATCATGCTTTACTGAAGGAATTATTAATATAAATATTTAAATCAATATCATGTTCTACACAGCGGAAATGTCTAAAAACCGGAATAACTTCACTTCATAAGTATTCCCAACATAAATTAAACAATAGAGTATAAAATAAAACTCATCATTCAAACGTTCCCCCAGTGTTACAACCTATCAGAGCATGACACTGACACGCGGACTTAAAGTAACATAGCTCTAAAGCCATCCTCACCAACTCCTGAGCTGCTAACTTTAATCTGAAATCATTAAAGTAAGGGTGAGATTTCTCATAATTAACATGCATTATAAGTTTCTCAATCAACATTATATCACAAGCATATTATTTCACCCATTTTAGCATAAATCCAGATTCAACACACAGTTTCAATCATACAAGTCATATTGCACAAATCAATAATCAACCAAAGAATCGTAACACTGGAAGACATCCTAACATGTTACAATTCCATGCAAACACAAATGCAGACACAATGCATGTGGTACCAATCACGTGACCAAGTCACCCAACACTGATCCATCATCGACCGGATACAGCAACCATCGATTCGCCCATACACACTCGGACACGAATCCAACTGATCCATCATCAACCGGATACAGCAATCATCGATTCGTCCATAACACCGGACACGAATCCAGCCTAACTACCCATCATCAGCCGGTTATCGGTTAACGGAAATACAAG